CTGTCTGTCTGTCTGTCTGTCTGTCTCTCTCTCTCTCTCTCTCTCCTGCTATCTGTCTCTCTCAAACACCCCCTCCCCTTCCATTTAAAATCATACCCCCCTCCCCCACATACACACCCCACATACACCCCACCCTTGATGTACACGCCCCTGACTGGCCTAGACCTACTCCGTGTGGGGTGTGATCTGGTGCAGTTGGCCACAGGCGCCCTCTGGTGGCGGCAGGATTAACAGGCCCTCTTCATCAGACGACTTATTCAGTACGTCCCCACCACATGAAGCTATTACAACACCACCACCACCACCACCACCACTGTGGCCCCTCCCCGCCCCGTCCTCCTGGTCGATAGCCCATAAACCAGTGCTCTGTTGTGTTAACACTTTCACTCTTAGTTTAGTATACTTCTAAATGTATTTTATGATTTTATGGGTGGTTGATGGGTGCTCTGGTGGGGTGTGCTCGTTTTTCCCCCTCTCAAATACCTATCGTCTAGACCTCTCCTCCTTCTTTTTTTATATTTGGTGCTATCTTATAACCCATCTTATCTTCAGCACTTGTATGACCTTATAGTGTTGCAATTGTCGTAAAACTCTTACTTGAACTAAAAACTAAAATCAAAATGTACGTTCAAAGAAGCGCAATGCAGGTCGTTGGCAGTTGCTCTTGTGGTGGTCGACCTTTTCTCTACTCCTTTGAGGGTGGTTGGCGGGTGTTCTGGTGTGGTCTGCTCCTTCTTTCTTATTAAACATCTATCTATCATATCTCTCTCCTTCTTTTCTTTTGTGTTTATTACTGTCTTGTAACACGTCTAAGTTTTAGGCTCTTATATAACCTTATTGTGTTGCAAGTGCCTTGAATATCTTGATAAAACAAGCAAACATCAAACAAAATTTTTAGTGCACGGAAGGTAATTTCAATTTTGATTCCAGCCTTTTTTTGGGGTCCAATTGTTCAATACCCCAAACATCCCTATAGGCCCGCCTCCTGAAAGATCTAAATTATGTCGAAGGTGGCGTAAAAAACACATACAAAAGAGAAGAATTTTTTTTTAAAAAAACAAAAAACTTCCCGATTGCTCATTTGGTGGCTGGAGGGCATCACTGGTTGATCCTACTTCTAAACTTTCCTTCTGTTATTTCTATCTGACTTACCCTTTTCCCCCAGCGCTAAATGGTCATTATTTTTCTATGCGCTTCTCTTTACCAAAAAAAAAAAGTCTTTTTTTTACGTTTGATGCTCTTCTTTAACATCTCTAATCTTCGGCACGTAAATGACCTATGTGTTGCAGCTGCCGTAAAACTCTAAATAAAACTGTTTTTTTAAACACCAACTAACAACAACGAAAACAAAGTCTCTAAGTTTACCGAAGGTTATTTCAGCTTTGGAAAAAAAAAAGACAGACAA